GAGCACATGAGAGGGGGGAGGGTCAGAGGGAGAAGCAGACTCCCCGCCGAGCAGGGAGCCCGATGCGGGACTCGATCCAGGGACTCCAGGATCATGGCCCGAGCCGAAGGCAGTCGCTTAACCAACTGAGCCACCCAGACGCCCCTCTGTAGGTTAATATTTAACTGAACTGTTCTTAAAGATCCTCATTTTTATTTCTAAGTAAAACACAATGAAGGTCATATGTTTCATATATAAGTATTAATTGATTTAATGCTTAAAATCAACAGTTTAAAAAAGATGATAATACCATACACAGCAATTTTTATTTAGATAATGAATTAACTTTTAAAATTCTTCACATTTATCATGTGAGACATCATGGTGTTGTCATTAAGAGCAGGGTTTTAGAATCAGACAATGTTTGAACCGTGATTTCAAAGTCATTGATTTGATATATGCAATAAATTTTATGACTCAAGGGCATTATACTCAGCATAAAAAGCCAATCTCCAAAGGTTACATAGAGTATGATTCCATTTATGTAATATTCTAGAAACTAGAAAATCGTAGAGATGGAGAAAAGGTTAGTGGTTGCCCGGGTAAAGGAGTTACAGTATTAGATGTGACCATAAGGAGTTAGCAGGACAGTTTCCATACTGTTACCAGTTCTCACAGTTGTGTTGGAAGACTTCTGTATCTCAGTTGTGACTGTAGTTATACAGATCTATACATGGGTTCAAAGTGCCTAGAACCACACACACACACAAAAATGTGAAAAATGCTGAAAATGAAATAAGGTCTCTAGCTTAGTTAACAGTATTTAAATATAGTACTATAGCTCTATAAAATCTCACCATTGGGAAAAGCTGGGAGAAGGATTCACAGGACTCTATGTACTATTTTTGCAACTTCTTGTAAGTTAATACTTTTTTTAAGTTAAAAAATATGAATATGAGATTTATCAGTCAATTGGAAATTTGAACACCAAATGGATATCTGATGTCATGATATTAAGAAATTATTGTAAATTTTTAGATGTGATAATGGTATGGTTACAATTTTGGTCTTTTAGAGATTAATAGGAAATAGTTGAAGAAAATAGGATGTCTGGGATTTTCTTCAAATTAATATGGAATATGGGGAGGGGGGTGGGAATATACTTGAATTGGTCATGATTTGATAAGTGTTCATACTGGAAGATGAATGTATGTAGATTATTCTATTTCTACTCACATTTGGAATTTTCCAAAATAAAAGTAGAATCAACAAAATAGTGATTTCTTAAACACATTACAATCTCAATTTTCCCCACAAAAGCTTTATCAGACTGTACCACTTCAGACTAAATGAAAATTTCACATTTTCATTTGATCCCATATGTCAACTTATTCTCTCACAGAAACCCTTTAATTCTGCTTCCAGTGATTTAATTGTCAAATCAACATAGGGAAACCGGGCACAGATTTTGTTGGGAAAGCCCCCAACATAGTTAATTTCAGAAATGTTCACTAGGTGAAATAAACATCATTTTCATTTGTAAACCTGTTTTTAAATATGTCATTTAATCCCCTTAGAGTAAGAGTATGTCCGTATGTCCTTATTCTTAAGGAGCAGGTACGACATGATCATTTTAAATCAAGCATCTATATAGCAAAGGGCGATGTGCAGCAAGGCTCCAGAGGTTTTATATTTTTATTACCTGGGTTGTAAGAATTCCCAGAAAGATGAAAAATATAAATAATTTTCTTGAGACATATTCAACATTATTCTTTTCTCTATTCATTAAAACAGTAACAACACATTTTTCTGCCCATGGCACTGCCTAATTAGTGTCTGATTTAGAAGTCTAGTAATCACTGTGGCACCAGTGGTTGTGTCTTGAAACATGACCACACGTCCTTTGTGTCTGTGCTACTGAAACTAGATACTGGCAATAGGCATCTTTTCAGAAATAATTTGAAAGTTCTCTTTAGCCTAAAAGCCATTAGTAAAATACATGTGTGAAATCTGATGGAGAAATTTTGCTTACTGCATAAATTTTCAAAATTGTGTTTACCTTACCTTTTAATAAGATGATCACTTGAGCAGACTTTTATATTAATGGCTCACTACATTGTGTTTTTCTCCATTCAAAATCAGTTTTATCTTCTATTTAATTTTCTTCATTTTCGACTTTAACATTTTGACAGTACCTTATGCCTTAATTAAAGATTTCAAAATCTCTGTCTCAAATCACCTGAAGTCCTTGAATGTGTTATTACAGATAACAATATGTGAATATACAAATCACTTTACAGTCAATATTTATCTCTTCTGCATTTTCTTAATATGGAAGAGAAATAATTTCTTACTTCCCACTGGTGATGATAACTTTTTTGCTATATTCCATATTTACAAGTTCTTTACTGGGCAAAAGAAAATTAAAACAAGACAGAGTAGTTGAACTATGTTGGCTTTTGCAAGGTAATGTTGCTATTCTTTACTTGGGTGAAACCTTTTCTCCTTTCATGCCTTTAGTGACATCAAAGAACTCACCTGTATTGCTAATGTTGCTTTGTATTTCCTACTGTACATTCGGGGTTTAAAACCCACAAGGAGGACAGTTCCTTCAGTGTCAAAAGGAGGAAGTTCTCCAACCTGAGGTTTCACAAAAAACTCAGGATCACTGCCAGGTAGGAAGTATGCAGTGAACGGCTCGGGATTTCTAGAACAAAAATATAAATATTAACTTTAAATTTTATCATTACTCTTTGTGAGCACTTGGTGGATAGAATTTATATCCTCTTGCACAGGACTACAGTTAAACTTTAATGCTGCCATGCAGCTATGAGCCTATTGCGTGTTACTTTATAAGAGTGAGGAGGCCTTTTAAAAATTACTGAAGTGTCATTCTTCCCAGGGTGACAAAATGGAATCTTAAAGATTTTTAAAATTACGTCTTATGTTTTTAGTGCACAAAGAATAAAATGTTGTCCCTATAAAAATTTGAAGAACTCAATGTCCCATATTAAAATGTAATCATTTGTAAATAAATTCATATCCAAAATGCATGGCTAGAACAGCTATCATGAAGCCTTTGTTTTTATTACTATTCCAATGTGGTTGCTCACTCTCCTTTAGCTTTCCACTTGTGAAGTGAGATGAAAGTACTTTGCAGGTTCATTAAAGATTCTTGAGCCTGAAGATGAGTTGCTATGATCTGAAGTGAACTGAGCAGCATTTAGGATTCAAGTGACCATTTTCATGTCAAGGTTGATTACATTTGAGATGAAGATGGTAAAAGAAGTTGAGGAACTCATTTGGTAGAATAAAACAGAGGAGGAGTACACTGCATGGGAAGTTGTACATGAGGAATTTTAAATCCAAACTTTCTGGGGAGATGCAAGTAGAAGGTAAAGAACAGTTTCCTAGAACAGATCCAACAGTGAATCATAGAAAAGGAGATGGGAGATTCAGGTTGGGACTCAGTGATCCACTCAGCAAATGTATTGAGTATCATCTCAGAGGGTTTGAGAAAGTGGACTATGGATATGGATGGCCTGGATTGGAATCCCAGCTCCATGTAGGTGCATAACTTTAGACAATTTACTTTTTTGTACCTCAGTTTTCATATCTGTTAAATGAATTTAATAACCTCTATAAAGCCATTCGATCAGTACCTGACATGTAGGAAGTGCTCTATAAGGTTTAATCAATATTAATATAATCATTATTATGATTGTTGTTTTAAAACATCTTATTACCAATGCTTATTATCAGGCAATGATGCATGATGCAATAAATTTTAAAAATGTATAAAACAGAATACCCAGGGGTTCTGGTGGAATAGGAAGACCCAGACCCTCTTTTCTCCCAAGGAACAACAATACAAAGACCAATTCCCATTGTGAGAAATTCAGAAACTAGTTAAGAGACGTCTGCCTTCTAGGTGAGCACAAAATCAGCTGTTTTGAAGTCAGTAGGAAAACTTGTGCCATGCTCTCACCACAGTCTGCCCTCCACACCAGTGCAATAGCACATGATTGGGAGGAAAGTCTCAGCTTCCATTTTACTCAGGGGAAGGAAAGAGAAGAGTAGACCAAATATCCAACAATTGGACTTCTGGTTGGAATGTGAAGGGGTGCTGCCTGAGGGACTGGCTTCTGTCTTGCTTGTCTTGAAGTACTGATGGGACCTGACATACTATAGATGCATGGGGGCTTCTAAGAACAAGCTGGGCAGGGTGCTGCTGCTCCAGAGGTCCCAGCAGGTTGATACAGCTCAGAAGCGTCTCCTTAAGTGTGGAAAAAGAAGAGTGGAACATGTGTCAAACTTCCTGGCTTTTCAGTAGGCTGCCCAACATTCTAGTTTATGTCCATCCTGTCTCAGAGAACTGACAGAACTTGGCAAAATCTAGATACCTAAAGGCTACTGAGGAAAAAAATAATAAAAGATCTGGTTGGTGTATTGCTGCTTCAGAGTGCCAGGGTACAGAAGACAGACAGCAAAGAGAGCAAGAGGTTAGGAACTCCTGAAAAATTAGAAACCAGCAAACCCCTGTAATCTTCACACACAAGTTCATACAGATATACTCACAAAAAAGATCTGAGGTGTCCCCAGGATCTCTAGTTGGTCTGAGTGGTGAAGATCTTTCCCTGCATGAAGCTAGTCTATGAAGACTGAGCGAGGTGGCTTTTTTTTTTTTTTCAAATGTGGGGATATCAACACAAAGTTACAAAGAACATGAAGACAGGAAAGAATTATTCAATTAAAGGAACAAAAGAAATCTCTAGAAACACATCATAAAGAAATGGAAGTAGAGGAATTACTGATCAATTATTAAAAAAACTGTCACGAAGATGCTCAACACTATCAGGAAAATAATGCATGAACAAAACAAAGAGAAAATATTAAAAAGGCCAAACAAATTTTAGAGCTGAAGAATAACTGAACTGAAAAACTCACTAGAGTGTTTCAACAATGGATTTGATCAAGCAGAAGTAATCAGGGAACCCAAAGATAAGTCATTTGAAATCATCCAGTTAGAGGAGCAAAAGGAAAAAGAAATGAAACAGAGTAAAGAAAATCTAAAGGACTTATACAGCAACGTCAAGTCGCCAATATACACATAATGAGTCTCAAAAGAAGGGAGAAATAGGGGCAGAAAACTTACTTAAAGAAATAATGGCCAGGAGGGGGGAAAATGGCAGAGGAGTAGGGGACCCTATTTCAACTGGTCCCCGGAATTGAGCTGGATATCTACCAGACCACTCTGAGCACCCACGAAACCAGCCTGAGATGTAAGAAGATCTAGGTACGAAGCGGGGAGCCGTGATTCCGCAGGCAGATATTGGAGGATAAACAGCAGTGGGAGGGTGCCTGACCGTGGGGATCCTACACCACCGGTGAGTGATAGCCTCGCGCGCTGGGGACAGGCACAGACTCGCAGACCAGTAGCGAAAGGGAAAGGACTTTAGGGCAGCCCCCGGGGCGGAAACCTGGAGCGCCACGCAAACTGAGAGTGGCTGGCGGTTTTAGAAGCACAAAGGGCAGAGACATGCCCCAACCTGGAGGCAGGACTGGGAGTGCTGTGGAGGGGCGCACAACCCAGGCCGCTGCAGTTTATAGCAGCAAGGACAGAAATGGACATAGTGTGGCCTGGAGAGCTCACTGAAGAACAGACTGTGGTCTCTGCTCTGAGGCAGAGGGTTGGAAACAGTCTCTTCTGCTCTGACTCACGGAAGAGACATGGAAAGCTGCCAGAGAACAAAAGCTCAAAAAACTGATT